ACACAGGATGAACTCAAGTAGGCATAGACAGAGCTCTGAAGAGAGCTCTACAGCATCCATCTTTCCTATCCATTACACTCTAGGGACAGAGCAGGGATCCTGACCCTCAGCCCCTAGTAACCTGCATCTGTTCTGGCTCAAACAGTCCTCTGTGGACTCATTATGTAAGGTCAGAGAGAACTCTCAGCCTAGCCAGTGGCCCAGATCTACACCCATGGAGATGCTACCCACCAGTGAGATAGAAGCCACCTCTTACCCATATCAGGCTGAAGAGAGTCTCCCACCCTCTGCAGGATCCTGTCTGTATGTTTGCAAACTCACTCACCAGGGGATGGGCTCACTGACTCTCTACTCCACCATCTCATCACCAGTACTGCTATTTCTCATTGCATTTCTGGGTGTAAATAAACATGCAGACTCGGAGCTTTTAGTTCCATCTCCGGCTGAGAACTCCTCACAATCCTCCGATCCAGGTCTCTCTCTGACTCTAGACACCTCCACAGATGCTACAGAGACCTGATGACTACACGAGGAAAGAAAACATAGCCATGGCCTTCCCCCTCTTGGCCCATGCCTTTGGTGGTCTAACTGTTCCACCAAATCTCTTGGATTCCTCCGTCTCTCACTCTCTGTTGGGAAGTCTTGTTGGCCTTGCCTTCGTGTTACCATCGCAGCCTGAAACTGCCCAGGGTGTTTTAGTGGAGCATGCCCCAGCACGTCTGCCCTCCATGTGTGTCTGCCCCACTCCACAGGGATGCAGTGAGATTATTGTTCCTGCAGCCTCATGACCTCACGGCCTGTGTCACCTGCACCCTCCTGCCAAGGTGCCTTTGCACTGGCCATTGCTTCTACCAGACTCCTCCCCTCTTTCCCAAGGCTGACCCCAACCAGTGTCATGACTGTAACCAGCCTCAGCCAGTGCAGCTGGTATGTAGAGGCCTGTCCTACACTCTCGCTTTCCATAATAGCCTGTAACACACCATGCAGCTCCTCTAGCCACTCTGGATGTTGGATTTGGTCTCTTTCCCAAGCACAGGTCCCTTGAAAGCTGTGGTTCCTGTCTGCTTGCATCACTGACATCCGTGATCTAGCGGGCTCTTGGTGATATGAGTTAGGTGAATACAAGGAATGGATATATTGGTTTTAAAGCCATAGTCGATTAGCCGTGTGTGTGTGTGTGTGTGTGTGTGTGTGTGTGTGTGTGTGATTCCACCTTTACATCCTGAATAAATGGCTTGATTTCTTGAAATGGTGTTCATTTGTTACCCTGGAGTGGATTTTGGAAGCTCAGTACAGAAGTGATGACAACGTTCACAGGTTTCTGGCTTGCTGACATCATGTTTGTGATATGTGTGCTATGCTGAAATGCCCTCGTCACCAAAATGGGTTGTTTTTACTGGCTAGGCAGAAGAAACTTGTACATTTGTACATTTGTTTTCCTTGCCGTTGTCATGCTTCTCTAGACGGAGGCCTTGCTATCGCATCAGCTCCTTCAGTTAGTAAGACATCCGTGCATTCCCACACCAACAGGGAAGACCGAAGTGCTGTGGGAGGCTGTACAACACCAGTACAGTAGTGTTTGCCTGATAACAGGGCTCCAAGCTCAACCCTCCCAAGCCCACACTAAGCTGACCTGATGGCCTCTCCAGATCTCCCGGACAGGACACCATGAGAGGCTAAGAGGCCACACTGGTAACAGCACTCCAGAGTCCTGCTTTGCCAACTACCATGGGCCAGACGAGGGTAAGGAGGCACAGGTGAGGTAAAGGCTGCTTAATCAGAGCTGGCTTTCTAGAGACACTACAAATACAATCAAGTATGCTGGCGCCAAAAGAATTCACAGACTGGAGGGAACCTGACCATGGTGCTTTGATTGAGGTAGCCCCATTGTCCCCGGTTGATGGCACTATACAGGGGGCACTATTCTGTAGGCATGGCCTTACTGGAAGAAGAATGTCCCTGGGAGCTGGCTTTGAGGTTTCAAAAGCCATGCGCCATTCCCGGTTTGCTCTCTCTGCCTCGTGCTTGCCATTAAAGATGTGAGCTTCTGTTCCATCTACCATGTCTGATGCTTGCTTCCATAATTCTCCATCATGGATGGACTCATATCCCTCTGAAGCCATAAGCCCAAATAAACTCTTCCTTCTAGAAATTGCTTGGTCATGATGTTTCATCACAACAATTCAAGGTAGTAATACACTGAGCAAAATGGGGTGCTACAGGGAGATGACCATGAAACATATAGGTGGTGGTTTGAGTTCAAAAAGCCCCGATAGGCTCAGATATTTGAATGTTTGGGTCCCAGGTGATTGAGGAAGGATTAGGAGGTACGGCCTTGTTGGAGGAAGTATGTCACTAGGGGTGGCCTTTGAGATTTCAAAAGGCCATGCCAGCCCCCTCTCTCTGTCTACTGCTTGTAGATAAGATATAAGCTCCCATCTACTGCTCCAACACTATGCCTGCCTGCCTGCCTGCCTGCCTGCCCCATGCTACTGTCTACAGTGGTTATAACGCACCCCTCTGAAATTGTAGGCAAGCTCCCAATTAAATGCTTTCTGTTACAAATTGTTTTGGTCATGATCCCTTCATAGCAATAGAGAAGTAACTAAGAAGACAAAAAGAGGTGGGAACGAGGGGACAGGGAGGGGGTAACAGGGTGAAATAAGGAGATGAGTGGGGACGTAAGGAGAAGGGGTGAGATGAGGATTATGAGGAATGGGGGTGCGATAACATAGGGAGACGGGGGAGCGGGGAGGATAAAGTGAGGAGACCTCTGTGATGTAACAGAAGGGAAGATGAGGGTGAAGATGAGGCGGGAAAATGAAGCAAGCATGAGGGGGTTGTGAGGAGGAAGACGGAAGAGAGGAGGCAGTGATGGCCACCCTGCCGATGGAGGAGGGTAACACGGACCCCCTTTTTCTCTGCATACTAGGTATGCCCTAGTACCCACGAGGAGAATCCCTGCAGCTCAGCGTTAATAGGGCGATGCTTTCAAACGTGATTAGACTGTAGCATTGCCATGAGCAAATCTAACAGACCCTGGTATAGCTTTCTACACTGTGTTTTTATTCTTTACGAATTTCCCACATGATAAAATACTGCTAACCTCTCCCCAGCTTTTCCAGGATACCCTGGCACATCTCCCCTACAAATTCATGTTTTCTGTTCATCATCATCATCATCACCACCATCATTGTCATCATCATCAGTCCCTGGGTCAAATTACCACTGACCGCATGTGAATGGGTGTGTTACCTTGCACTGGGCATGGACAGCATCCATATTCCCAAAGAAAAGTGACTCCCTCTGTCCTCAGCCATCAGCTACCAATAACTTCACTACTAGGGTGGGGCCTTAGGAGCCCTCTCCAATCCGTGCAGGAATTTTGGCTGGTTCAATTTTTTTCGAAGACTTGTGCAAGCCACCACAGCTGCTGTGAGTTGATGTGTTCAATGGCTACGCCATTTCCAGAAGTCAGTATTTCACAACTTTCCTACTCATCCTCTGGCTATTACATTCTTTCTGACCTGTCATTTTTTTCAATGTCCCCTGAGCCTGGGATGGATGGCAATAGGTAGAGATGACCCATCTACAGCTGAATGCTCGTATTTCCTTATTCCAAGTGCTCTGACACTTAGGCGTCTCTGCACTGACCACACTACCCACTGCAAAAAGAAGCATCTCCGAAAAATCTTGACAGCAGCAGTAACCTATGGCAATACGCATATGTAGAAGGCAGTTTGACAACATGACCATTTAGTGAAACACCAGTAGGTTCCTCACTATATGGCTTATGGTCCCCCCAGTCATAGGCTCTTGACAAGGTCCAAAGTACCAGTCCAAAATCCCTCCAGTGGAGAAGACCTCAAATCCAGTAAGAAAGTAGTTGGTTCCCCTATAATGGCCGTGCTGCTGTTGTATTAGTGGATACATCTTGCCTAGCAGATTGGTATTGTAGCAAGATGCAAACTTTTTATGTTTTGCTATAAAGACTTTTAATTGGGGCCTCATGTAGTCCAAGCTTGCTTCGGACTCTGTGCAGTGAAGACTGCCTTGAACTCCTGGTCATCTAGCTTCTACCTCCTAAGTCCTGGGATTGCAGGCACGCGCCACCGTACCTGATGGAAGTCTTCATTGTACCATAACTATGAGGTTTGGTAGCAGCCTGAGGTTTGGTAGCAGTAGCTATGTCTATTTTAGGACTTTTTGACAAAAATAAAATTCACCCTGTAAGAACAGGTATATTCTCCATTTTCATACAAGAATTAGTTTTAACAGAAAATGCAAAGCAGGTGTGGCCTCCAGCATGTAGGGTGGTATAGCCTATTAGGTTGTCCTATGAGTGCCTGGTTTTCTCTCTGATGACACACACACACACACACACACACACACACACACACACACACACACACACACCCTGTTTTTATAGTGCCCCCACTGATTCTCTAGCAGTAACTATGGGCCTTCTCTCCAATGTCTGATGATTGCACGGATGTTAGATTCCAACCATGAAGCCTACTAACCTAAGTGTCAGAAATAAAAATTGCAAGATGCAGGAACTCTGTAATGAGAGACCCTCTGTGTAACCAGTCATGTACCTTTGACGTCATGTTAATTTCCATGAGTTCCAATGCTTGTGTCCACCTGGTCTTGTTTGGAAATGCATTCCCAGAAGACTGTTATATTCCTGCACCACTGAAGGATCCCCACAAGTCCCATTCTTATTGACCTTCCTTTTTCTTGGCCTGAATGGTAGCCAATAAATTTCCCTTTGAAACATTGCTTTACAAAAACCATCTTCATAATGATTTGTAAGAAAAGATAGATGATAAAAAACTGGAGATCCTTCTGGACTCCAGATGGAGGTAGGATCATACAAATGACCCTGCCTCCTGTCTTCCACCACTTGGCATGCATGAGAGAGAGGACCTCAGAATGTCCTGTTGCACCATGAATGTGACTAGCAGCTTACAGGTGTGTTTTTTTTTATCTCTTTGTAGATCACGTTTTATATTCTGGTGAAGGCCATTTATACCTTGGGCTACAGTGTTTCCCTGATGTCTCTTACAACAGGAAGCATAATTATCTGCCTCTTCAGGTAAGGAGCAAAACTGAACAACTCTGCAAACAATAAGAGACCAGCAAACATTTTACCTGTACACTTTTTTGGTACCTCAGAGGGTTAGGCTCCTGATCTGGAGCCCTTCCATGTGCCAAGTGATAGAGCACCTTCAGGGCCTAGAGAGGCGGGTCAGCAGTTAAAAGCACTTGCTCTTGCAAAGGGCTGGGATTCAGTTCCCAGCACCTGTATTGTGTCACACAACCATCTGTAACTCCAGTTACAAGGAATCTGTTGCCTTCTTCTGGCCTCTGAGGACTCCCATACATGCATGGTACACATAAAGTCACTCAGTTACACATATGCACAAAAATTGATAGATACATACTTATATAGATGGATACATAGATAGATCGATGAAGATTGAAAGACAGGCAGACAGACAGATAGATAGATGAGGATAAACAGAAAGACAGTCGTACATACATACGGACAGACAGACAGATAATAAATAGAGCACCCTTGAAGTGACATTTACTTTTTGTGAACACACTTGGCATTTCTTATGTAAGCAGGTAGTGCTACCCTTTTAGCTCAGCTACAACCTGTTAAACAATGAGGTGTTATGCAAAGACATATTATGAATACAGGATGTCGTTGTCCTTGCCCCTCAGAAGCCGCTGGGTGCTCCATGAAGATGTATTGAATCTAAGCGCTTGAAGACAGAAATCGCACTGAATGGGTTCAAATCCTGTGTAGCCTCTTTGTAGCTGTGTGACCTTGAACAAATCGTACAACCCCTACAAGCATCTATAGTATGTGGACATGAACAGAAGCACTCCAGAGGGGCCCCTGAAGTTGGAGTGCCGTAGACTGGAAGGGCCTGGGTGACACAAGCCTAAGATAGGAGCCTTGCAAACTGCCTGCCTGCCTTTTTTCTGGTAGTGAGGTCAGATGCTGCCCCGTCCCCACCTGAGCCCTCCTCAGGTCTCTGCCATGACCAGTGGTTGTTCAGGGTGAGAGCTGAGAACCTCAGTCCACAGGGGAATCCCTGGATGGGAAACACAGATAGCCCTATAGGATGATCACACTGAGCATTGCGAGCATTTGGGGTGAGCTCCTGTCACCACTGTCTTCTTCTCTCTGCTGAGGACAAGCTCAAGTGTTGCCACTATATGAGATAGAATCACTGACGGCAAAGGAGACATTTCTGTCCACAACCAGTGAAGGAGTCGGGCATGGTGAAAGATACAGCCTAGAAGCTCAGCAACCATAGACGAGTTACACTTTTCCTCCTTCAGGGGTGTTAACATGACCGGCATATTACTATTTGTTAAATTACCTCTGCGTTTTTACATTTTTTAAAAGAGAAAAGTGTAAAGAAAGGAAACCGAGAGAAACAAGGTGCTGTGGGATGGACTGGAGGGTTTCTGTTTATTTCCCCATATTGGACAAGCCGCTCTCAAACCTCAGTCCCTTCACATTTTACGGTGTGGTACAGACAGCCAAGCCAAAGGCCTTTGGAACTTGGCGCGGGTGATCTTGACCTTCCAGAGAATCTGCAATAGTTTGTTTCCTGGGTGGCCATACCATCTTTTAGATGTGAACACAATCCCTGCCCGTTTCAGAACTCTGTGGTTGGAAAGAACCATTTTCCCTGGACATCATCTTGCTGGTGGCGCCTAGTGCTATATGCCAGGTACAGAATCTAGAGCCCAGTCACTTTTGGGGGATTTTACTTTATCCCACACCTTTGGCTCCTGCAACCTCTTGTCTGTCAGAAGTGATTCTCAGGGCACTTCCATGGAAAACTGAGGATAGGTCGATTCTAAGATTTGTAGTATGAAAACAGCATGTTCCACTGTCCTAATTTACCCCAGAGGAAATGAGATTATTTGTAGTTGCCAAACATTTATTCTCCCTCATATGCCTTTAGAAAAAACAAAACAGAAACACTGGGCAAGCAAATTCTTAACTGACACAGAGAAATGGAGCAGCTCATGTCCTAGATCGGTTCCAAAACTGCAGCCTAGACTCTCACCGCACATTCAGGGGCCTCAATGGGTTTTAGAATCACCACAGAAGGGTAGCTGTGATCTAAAAACACAACAGACAGATACTACCAACAGAAATTGCTACACTGTGTCTCTTGGGCATTTCGTTCCATCCCACGCCTTCATCCAATGAGTGAGTTTTACCGTCCTGAGTTTTATCCAGCAGAACAAAGGCCATCAGTTACTAGACACCTAAGCCCCACAGAGCTGGTGATGGCAGAGCCTGCGCAGACATGTTATCTGCATTGCCAATGTGCACCACGTCTACTCTGGCCCCCACAGCCCTGCTTAGTCAGAAGCCACACACTGGTTGCTATCTATCAGGTCTACACTTGGAGTAACATTTGACAATGATCTCTCAGTGATGGTCCAACCCTGCTCTTGGCAGAAGTTTCTGGCAGTCCTGTAGCTATTTAGTCCCAAATAAAGACACAGAGGCTTCTATTAATTATAAACTGTTTGGCTGATGGTTTGGGCTTCTCATTGGCTAGCTCTCTCTTAAATATTAACCCATTTCTATTAATCTATGTATATCCATGTGGGTTCGGCTTGCCGGTGATGCCTGAAACCCTCTTGCTCCCTCAGCAGCTACACGGCATCTTCCTCGAGCCTCGCTCTCTGAGTTCCTACTCCCAGAATTCTCCTAGTCTGGTAGTCCCGCCTTTACTTCCTGCCTGGCCACTGGCCAATCAGCGTTTATTCATCAACCAGTAAGAGAAACATAAATTCACAGCATACAGAAGGACATCCCCCATCACCCTGCAGCCCCACTCTATGGAAACTGGAGTGAACAAGGAGCAAGGAACAGAAAATAATAAGGAAGGGAATGAGGATTTGGAGACATGAGAAGCCATGGGCCAGGGGTGGGCACAGAATAGCATCACAGGAGGAGGCAATGCTGAAGAGATTCTGCTGTGTTCATACACCTGACCAGGCAGTCAGGAATCACTGTGCTGTTGCACAGAGGTCCCTGAAACCCGACAGCTTACTAGGATACCACAGGCAATACTGTAGACCAGCCGTGTATCGCATGTGCTGAGGCAAACACTACTCCGTAACAGGGACATCCTGTAAGGAGGATGCATCCTCGCTCGACTTGGAACAGGGGTAAACATAATACCTGGCTGGAGACTCAGGGCACTGCCTGAACCAGAAGCCCTCCCCATCACCATCTTTCCCCCAGCTCCCTTTTCCCCAAAGGTGAGCATGGTTCATTACACATAAACCACATTTTCTTCATCCATCTACCTGCTGGTGGACACCTACACCGATTCATCCTTGTGACTATGTGACTAGTCACAGTAAACACAGATGCGCAAGTAATCTTGTGTCATGCTTACTTACAGTCCTTCAAATACCGCCCCAGTTTACCTCTGTTACTGTGGAAAACAAGGCAAAGCACCGAGCAAAAGAAAGTTAGGGGAGGAAACCGTTTGTTTGGTTTGAACTTCCAGGTTACTGTCTGTCACTGAGGAAAGTTAAGAACTTAAGCAGAAACCTGAATCAGGGCATGGAGGAACAGCACTGGCCCACACCTTAGCTAACTGTCTCACAAAGCCCAGGTCCCCTTGCCTAAGGACAATACTACCCAGTAGGGAGTTGGGCCCTCCAACAACAGGCCAGTCTGATCTAGGTAAGTCCTCAGTAAAGACCTCTTCTCTAAGTTGGCTGGCTTCAAGCTGTGTCAACTTGACAGTTAAGGCTAACCAGAAGAATCTGCTGCTTGTCAACTTGAAGCTCACACACATGCCTGTTAATCCATCTTTTCCTTTCTTCCCACCAGTATCCCATGTTAACATCCCAATATAAAACAAAGTCCAACCTAAAAAACAATCTCATCTTTACATTGTTCTGTGATATCTGAAAGCCCAAATTCTCTTTAAAAATCCAAAGTCCCTCAACTGGAGTCTCCTGTAAACCAAAAGCAAGTTGACTCTCTTCTAGTTCTTAATGGGAAGAACCAGGAAACAGGAACAATGGTACCACAGAAAAATCCAAAGTCTAGCAAGGTTTATCCAAAGTCTGTTGTTCAGTGTTCAATATCTGGGACTCACTCGTGGCCTCTACGGGGTTTGGGCAGCCAACTCTCCAATGGTGCCATTGGCAACACACACAGTTTTTCTGGTGAGCTCAAGCCAGCTCCACTTAATACCTGCCACCGACCTTGATGAACATACCACAGCCCTGGCATCTCCAAAACCCCTGTGCGCCCAATACAAGTGACACTACACCTTCACCAATGGCCTCTGTGGAGCATCAGGCCTCAGACGCTCTCATGGTCCCCTCCATCTTACTTCTTTCATACCTTGAGAAGCAGCTCTATATGAGAAACTTCTTACACGCTGCCTGTTTTGACAGTCAAGTTGAGACGTAGCCCCAGCCACCTTCCATAGCACCTACAGATTCCACGTGCTAACCCTGAGGAAATACCTTCCTATTGACACGAGGAAGCACAGAAGAGGTCACCTCGGTGGTGCTCGTCTCTTGTTGATCACAGCTGATCCTTCAGCCACAGCTGAACCAGAAACTATAGAGTCGTGGTGTAAAATATCACAAAAATGGCCCCAAAGAAGTCTTTACTTCCTTCTGAAACCTCAGAAGCCCTGCAGGTCCCCTCCCGTTGTCTATGTTTCACTCGGCATCCTCAAGCTCTCACAGAATGCCCCAAAATCTCTGAACACTCAACAGCTCCTCTAGCTCAAAAGTTAAACCCTCCCTGTCTGCTCCCCACCCCCCACACCCCCAAAAAAGCATCAGGTTGTCCCAACATCCTCACCTCTCCAGTTGCAAAGTTGTCCTAGTTTGACTTCTGTTACTGTAGTAAAAGCCTTAACCCAAATCATGCTAGGGAAGAAGAGGGTTGTGTGGCTTACACACAACCCAGCATTGAGGGAAGCCAGGGCATGAACTCAACCAGTAACCTGAAGCAGAAACCATGGAAGAACACATTTGGGGCCTTGCTCCCTGGGTCATGCTCTGAAATAA